GCATGAGAATAAGCCCTGAGGTCTCTAGTAACCCCCATGTAAGGCCCCAATTGGCCTGGTGTGTGTAGATATGATACCCTGAGATATTAGACATAATTTATCTCTTCAGACTCTCCATTTAAATTCCTAGTGGTAGAAAAACGAATGAAATATGTATGAAATAATTCTCATAAAACTAAACGGTGGAAAAGTCTTAATTCCTTATATCTGGCTCCAGCAGTGCCTTTGCTTATTTTTGAGTTGTCTCTTGGACAAAACGTACCATGCAATAAATGTGAGGCTGAACCCTGTGGGTGAGGTTGCAATGTGACTACACAAAAGAGCTTAGCATTCCAAAACAACATGTAGGTCAGACAACTCTTCCCCCTAACATAGTTTCTCTGGGCAAAACCGGTGTCACTCTCCTTCCTTCCATTTCATTTGTAAAAGTTGACCAGATGGGTCACTGAAATTCTCTACCCATGACAGACTATGTGAGTACTTATCACACACCCCTTCATCTTGGCTGACACTTCCTTTTTTGCTCCCTGGTCCAGTTTCCATTGCCGGGTGAGGTTACCACATTCGTCCTGGTGCCAGGATCTGACCTCAGTATTTAGAGTTGGGTCCAAAGACTTTTCAAAATCCCTCCCAAATTACGGTCCTGGGGAAGGAGAATTTTCCCCCCAATAATATCTTAAGGGCATTGCAAGCCTCCTGGGACATCTTTTCTTACAATTTAGTTGAAGTATAAAAAACCACCAGGATTGCAGAACCTTGAAGAGATCATGGTTGTATAAAAACACAATAACAGGACATTCAAGAACCAATTTTGGACATTTAAAAAAAATATCTACCCAGGAGAATTTTTTCAAAATACTTTTTCCTTTTAAAAAGATGAAATAACTAATTTTATAAAGTTGAATGAGAACTGGTGGAAAAAAGTCAGCACTCACAAGGCATTTTGAAATAGACAGTGGTTAATCTTTTTTCTGGAGCACTATTCCAGAAACTCAGTTTTTTCCTCCTAAGCCGCCACAAGGACTTCAACAGTGTTGAAACAGGTTTATTTTTCTTTTCTTCTGTCTCTTCATCCATCTTCACAACCACCTTGGTCACTAATGTAACTCTTCTAGGGTTAAAGTTCTTCAGAATCCGAGACTAGCATTTTTTAAAAGATGATCCAGGAGCCATGAGGACTAAAGGAGATATTTTCCCAAATCACTTAGAAAATGGTATTTCTGAGTTGTGTTTGACATTAGCAGTAAAAAACTGCAGTTACATAATATTATCATTTAATACAACTAACAATTCTTGGAATCATTTCTATTTTCAAAATACATTTAAGTCATATTTGCAGTTTGTGTCTCATCATTTAAAGCATTATTAAAATGCTTTATTTCATTGTAAAACAACAACTTTAAAAATTAGAAACTGTGTAAGGGAAAAAGATGTCCAGTCGAAGCGGGGAATAAACAAAATGGAGACTGCTTTAGAAAGAAGGTTGTAGTTTATTGAAAAGCAGAGCCAGACAGAAAGATGACTCTGGGAAAACTGACCACATGTACTAGGGAGTGGTGGGTTTTTATACCTTCTTGAGCTTTTGTTTGGAGTTGTTCCTGTGGCATGAACTTTGACCTGAGTCTGGGTGTGCCTTTCTTGTATTCTGATGGTGTTGGGTTAATCCTATTATGTCCCAAAGGTCATGTCTTTTAGAATTTGGGTGGGGTATGTAGATTTTAAGGGCCCTAATCTCATCAGCTTCTAGCTTCTTGGTTCCAACCTTCCTGAATGGATTAATTCATCTGCATTTCTAAAAGCTGGTTTCTGCTGAGTTTTGTGGCTGGGGGGAGGGAGACGTTTCTGCCTTTTTAAAGATCTTCTCCATTATTCCTTTGGAGAAATATATTCTGCCTATTTAATATTCCCCAAAACATTTCTTCCTCTGGATTCTTCCCACAGTACTCTCTGAGCTTAATTGTTTTCTTCCAGACATTTCATTACCCAAACTTGGTAACATTATCAGTGCTAGTAAGGAGTGGGGTTTGCTCTCAATTTATATTCTAGTGGCTTGCCCTTTCATTGTTGGTTTGAGTGGTCTTGCTTGTGCTTTGGTCGGGATGTTTACTGTTAGCTTGTTTGGCAGTTCCTTGATTGGGGTATTGTCTCTTGATTTGTTTGTCTGATGTTAATCTTGGAGTTAATCTATGGGCATCTGGATATTGATTGCTGGTGGAGAGGTGTTTTGGTCTTTTCCCTTTTTGACTTGTTGATTGTCTCTTTTGAATAGTATATATTGTTTATGTGTCTTTTGATGGCTAATTTGCCAGAGTGCCAGGTTTCCAGAAAGAGTTCTTAACCCACTCCAGCCCTCTACCTATCAATCTACTTTGTTCCTCTCATTTTTTCTGGTAAATCAAGGTGACAGATTTTTCTTAGAGAAGATAGAGGATTCTTAAGAGGGCCCAGACCACATTCGTGTCTAAGGTTCCAATAATATTGCTAGGTACTGAGGCAGAGCATTCCCCATCACATTCAGAAACCACCTGGATCTAACTGGCACAAGGATGGACTTTTTGTGACAGAACTTACCCCTTCAAGAGTTATAGCAGCTACTAATCTCAACGGAGTGATCTGGGACCCTGGAGTTACAGAAAGCTTCTCAAATTTCCGACCACCAGCTCTAGCCAATTGAAATATCAAATCCAGACTATGCCCTACCACATGCATGGGATCGGATTATCAACTGGAAAAGTCCACTGTTGTCATGTGAGGAATGACATCCCAAATCACTTCTCACTGGGCAACTTCAGCATGGACAAGAAATCTAGGATGGACCTTTGTGAGGGCAGATTTCATTGTGACCAGTTCAGAAAGTCACAATGTGGGGAAGGGGAGTAGATCACACCCTTATGCTGTCCTAGTTATTCAGAACACTCATTGGTATTATAACACTGAATGCTTTGCTGAGCAACTACAGGTCATCCTCCTTTAGCAACCACCACTGAGGTTGGCAACTCTGTCATTAAGCAAAGCAGTGGCTAAGTGGGAACTCAAGTGATGGCAACTGTGCCTGTTTGCTCTCTTGCCCTCTCTTTTTCTCTTCTGCTCTGCAAAGGGGAAAAGAAAGAAAAACAGGACAGAGAACAACTGTAACGGCACTCATGTGACTGGAGGAGGTTGAAAGGGTCGTAAATGGTTGTAAATTGGTTGTAGATTTATTTTTTCAGCACCGTTGTCTCTTCAGTTGCTGAATTAGTGGTCATTAAGTGACTAATGTTGGTAATTGGGACTGGAATTTCCCTTGCTTAGCAATGTCAATTCCAGCAGTTCCAAGTTGTCATCATTAAGTGAGGAGATTGTGGGTTGCTAAGCAAGGACCTCATGGGACTATGACTTATGACTTGGTGCCAGTTTCCCTCTTTGGCTTTGTTTGTGGGAAGCTGGAAGGGAAGGAGGTAAATTAGGATCATGTGATGGGAGACAGGGCAATCGGTGGAAATCTGGGCTGGCAGCTGAGCACCTAGATCATTGTCAGAGTCCCCAAAGAAATGTATTCTCTTCTCTTCCTATGCTCTATTTGCCTTTGTAACCATTCTTTGGGGCCTGCCATTCTGTTGGGCGGGGGGATGCTCTGGGATGTCTTACAATGTCTTGCTGCTGTGCCCTTCCCTCAGGAGAAGGAATGCATCTCCCTTATCTGGATGATAGTTGGTGCTTAGAGCCAGAAGGAAAGGAAAGCGAGAGAGACCTTGAAAACCCCCCCCATGGAGCCAGTACCAAAACATTATGCCACCTGTGGATTGGCTGGAATTCGAATGGACACTGGGACTCTGGGGGGTGGAATAATAAAAATTGCTTTTAATATGTTATTTGTGCGGGTTTCCCCCCCAGATCTCGCCTTGCCATCCCTGCTGTCACTAGTCTCTAATAAAAATTCCTTTTGAGATAATGCCTGTCTCAAGAGTTCTGCTTTCTTGGGAGGCTTAGTTGAGCTGGGTCCTTACAATCATGATCGTGTGAGGTGCTGCCAAAGACTGAATTTCAAGGACTGGACGTAACTATCACTCATTCAGTGCTGTTGTAACTCCAAACAGTCGCTGAGGACTACTTATAATGCATTCAAGTTAATCTCCAATTGTTGTCTGATGTGAAGAGAACTTTTCAACATGGGGCTGCAATACATGGGCTGCATCTGACTTGG